AGTACAGTGCACATTTTGCCTATATGAATGCAAATTAGCATGTGCCAATTTGCTTCCTCACTTGTGTGTTTTTTTTTTGTTCTTGGTCCTGGATGAAGAAGTTTCTGTTTTTTTAGATTCAGGTGGGTAGCCCTGTTGGTCTGAAGCAACAGAACAAAGCGAGAATCCAGTGTGGCACCTTTAAGACCAACAGAGTTTTATTCTGGGTATAAGCTTTCATGTAAAAGCTTACACCCAGAATAAAACTTCGTTGGTCTTAAAGGTGCCACTGGACTCACGCTTTGTTCCGTTTTTTTAAAGCTTCAGCTGAGGCATGCTCGGCTCTGCCCGCCGTCCGGTTTGCAAGAGGCAGCCAGGGAAAACCCATCTTGCCCCGCACGCCTCTCCGGTAACTTGGGCTGGCAGGCCCAACCAAGTTTGGAGCCGGGCTTCGGTTTCCATCGTAGCGGATCTCCTCCCCGAAAGGGGGGCTAGGCCGCGGCCGCCGAAGCCGATTGGCTGTCGCTTTGGCCACGTGCTCTCGGGGCGCGTGCGCGTGTTGTGGTTGTTTTTTTTTGACAGGGCAAATGGAGCCGGGCAGGAGGGAGGGGGGTGACGAGCGCGGGCAAGCGAGGCCGGGCAGACAGTCTCCCGGGGAGGGTCCTAGCGCTGCCGGCTCCTGCAGGGGAGGCGGGGCGGAGATCCTTGCACGTGCGTCGCTTCCTCCCGCCTCTCCTCCCTTTAATTTTATTTTCTGCACGCGCGAGTCAGGCCCGCCGCCGGCCGCCCGTTGACGAACTCCCCTCCCTCGCCGCCGCCCCGTCCGGGGCTGGCGCTGCGTGCGCGTGTGACCCGTTTTCGGCTGGGGAGAGTGCCCAGGAGGAGAGTTAGTCAGCAGCCGAGGAGGAAGGAGGGAAGAGGAGGAGGAGGAGGGCACGGCGGAGTCATGGAAAACACTCTGCAGCCGCAGCCAGAGCAAAAGCGGCCGCAGCAGCAGCAGCCAGGGGAGGAGGAGGAGGAGGCGGCGGCTTTGTGCTTGGGCTGAGAGACCGAGGCCTGAGGAGGGAGGGAAGCAGAGAGAGAAGAAGGGCGGGCGGTCAGGCTGGCCTCTGCCTGGCCGGTCTGGCGTGAGGGGGGCGATTCTTCAGCCCCTCTTTTTCTCCTCACGGTCTAAAGGGAGGGGGGGCGGATATGAGGCTGCGGGGGGTGCCAGGACGGTTGGGGGGAGAAAGGCATTGGTGTGTGCGTGTGTGCGCCAGCCGTCGCTTTTTTGTCAATTTTATCTGTGCCAGTTTTATATTCTGTGGGTCGTCGAAGCGATGAGGCGGTGACAGGCGCCCGTCCCCCCCCCTTTCCCCTTAGTTATTTTCCTCCCCCCCCTTCCCCCCAATCGGGTTGTGTGAGGTGAGGGTCGAGCGAGCGTCCCCTCGTAAGGGACGCGGGGAGGGCGGTTCACACGTTCCCCCGCGGCCGACGCCGGTTCGGGCCCGATTGGGGCTTCTTATTTTTAACCCTCGAGGCGCCGAAGTGAGGGGGGGGCGAGGAGGGGGCCGCGTCTGGCCTTCGCAGCCCCTCCGATAGAGGCGGGCTGTCTTGAGACTGACAATGAGCCGTCAGCGTCTGTTGCCAGACGGTTTTGTTTAGGCTAGACGGGAGCCGAGGTCTGGGAGGAGGGGAGAAGGAGGGTTGAGCTCTGCCCCTCCTGGCCGACTCTCGAACAGGTACACACACAGACACACACGCACACAAAAGCAATGGAGTCCAGCTTGGGTTGACGTCGCCTTCAGCTCTGGTGCCGATTCTGGTGGGGGTGGGCGTCTTGGAGCGGGGCTGGGTGGGTGGGTTTCGAGTTTAGCCTTTGTTTTCTAAGCTTTTGCCCCGGCAGGTTATAAATAGACCTGTTCAGAGGCTGTGTCAAGGAAGGACAAGTGCCAGAGAGAGAGACTGGCTGTGTTTGGCCCCCCCCTCCCCCCAGCAGACTGCTGCTTGCCACTGCAATGAATGCCAAGAGGAGGCCTAGGTGCTGCGTATTCTTGTGAGCTGTTAAGGAAGAAGGGCTGGATTTCATTTTTTATGATTCCTACAAAAGAAGGAGAGAGCAGATCTAGTTGGAAGGCAGCATCGGTGAGACGACACTGCAGGGTGGGGAAAGACACTCAATCAAGGCTTTTTTAAAACTGAGAACTGTGTTGGTGAAGAACCACAACATTGGACTGAAAATGAAGCCCGACCGAGGTAAATGAATTTTATAAGGATTCCCATGTTACAATGATCAATACTGGATAACTGATAATGAATGGTGGGGCAGTCTAAACCTTTTGCATTCAGTCTGGTTTTTCTTGTTAGCCTGGACCTGATCAACAGACTATTGCTAGTGTTTGAAACTTTCTTTTAAAAGCTGTTATGTAAATTGTTGCATTTACTTAATCAAGTCAAGAGCTGGGAGTTAGAAACTCATTGTTGAAAACACCCTTTGCCCTGGGAGATGGTGTAGTTTAAATGTCAAACAGTGTTGCCCTATTATCATTCAGTTGCAACATAACAAAAAAAATCGGTTCCAGGTTACAGTCAGTTTGATATTGGCAATGCAGTCTCCCTGTACATGGAAGTTTGAAACACAACTCCTGCCAAACAGATAAAACTCATTTTGTTAGAATTTCCCATGTCTATTTCTGATAGAGTCATAAATTGCTTTACCTGCTTTGTGTGTATGTGTTTGTGGCTAGGGGAAAAAATAAATGGGTCAAGTGGTATTCAGATCTTGTGTAGCTATTGTGAAGGTTGTTTTTGCCACTAGAGGAGTTTGTGTGTCGTGATTTCTGGCTTTAAGTAATACTTATCCTTTCCTGTTCTACATTGTTGTATTTCTATAGTAACCAGTGTGGAAAATAACTTTGGTATAATACCCCACAAATTGGCAGCAGTGAGCCATCTTCCCGAGTCCCGCCCCCCCCTTTGTTTATGCACGTGTAATTCCGTAACTTGAAACAAATGTACAGTTCTGGTACGTGAATCACTTCTGGTATGTAACACATTCTTTACAAAAACATTATGATGCATCAAAAAGGGGAGGGCTTTTTTAGATACTTGCCTGTTGGGTAGCTATTTTTAGCCTGTTTTTGTATTCAAAATACTTTACATTCTATAGTATATCTCTTAAGTATGTGGTATTATTTGAATGTGCAAGAGGATATGCATCTTACCAGTATTTTAATTGCTTGGAAAAGAAGAGCTGATGGGATGTGCTATGATTGAAACAAAAGTGCATTATGCATTTGACAGCTATTTCCAGTGTGTTTTTGGACTTCCCTTAGGTCATTATGTTTGCATTCCTTTGCATGCTTACCTGAGAGTAAGCCCTACATACATAGGGTATGAATTTCTTCCCAAATGATTCATGCATATTATTTGGCTGTAAAAGCTGAAATCCCAGGTATAGTTACTTGGAAATATAAGGCCCAATGACCTATATGGGACTTCTGAATAAATATGCTTAAGATCATATTGCACACAATGCACTAGAAGAATGTGGTTTGCAAATATTGAATCTCTGGTTACATCTCTGAATATTTTGTAATTCCTTTCACAGTCCAGAACCTTGGAGATGTTTGTCCAAGGTTCTGATAAACAACAGCATTTTACACTTTGAGAAGGCAGTAACAATATTCTAATGATACAGCTATAGAATAGCTAGTCAGTGTACCTTAGAGGGAGAAAGGGCTGTGTCTGAATCTTCTGTGTGTCAAAACCAACTGGGGTATTGATTTGTATTATCTCAAAGCCTTGCATGGCTTAACTTTAGTAAAATGAACAGTAATAACATGTATTGTTTATCAGAAAATAAAGTTCAGGCATTCAAAAGCTATTTGGTAAGCAAATAAATTGTAATTTTACTGAGCAGTGTAATGTAGCTTAAGTGCTCCTGTTTTGTTATGGCATCTAGGAATGGTTACAGCGTGTAGCCTGATTGCCACAGTGAGCCCCTGCAGATGCTTTTTGTGACGGCCCAAATGCAAATGTTTACTTGTGCCAGTTCTCTGCCCAGCAGCTACAGGCAAGCAGTGAGAAGTGCAATCACCTGCTTCCATTAGTTGCAAATTAGTATCAAAGGACATGGGATGAGCTGAGATTTTAACTAAACTGCAGTATGTTCTGTGAAGTACTGGACCAACAGGAAGGAAAGTCTTCTGCATTCAGCTGTAAAAAATTACATTTTATATCTGTGCTTTGTTTATTTTTTTTCTTGATTTGGTACATCAGGCCTTAATAACCAATAGCCATTTTGTCTTTTCCTTTATTAACTATATTTGCACCTAGGTGTAAAGTTATCATATCCACTGGAAATTAGGATAGGAAAAATAGATGCCTGCACAACGGAATTGCACCCTCATGCTTTTAAGTTAATGTGTTGTTGAATTGGACTACTTCCTTGTGCAAATTAAATGGGAGCACGTCATCAAATTCATTTAATAACTGATGATAGTGTCTTCATGGAGCTCTCTGCAGAAAAGACAGTTTGGTTGAAGAGACCAAAATTTGGCTTTGAAACAAAGAGCATCTGCTGTGATTCTCAAAGCTTGCAAGAAAACAAATATGCATAGGATGGAATGTGCTGGATGTTTTTTTACCTGGGGGGGCTTCTTCCCCACTTTGAAAACTGTGGAGTTGTTTCTTTTTTAATCTCTGTAAACTAAAAATGTGTCTGGAAGATTCTCTGGTGAATTAAGGAGTTGGCCTGAACTGCAGTTGTTTCTTGGTTGAAGTCTGAAAATGTGAAAGCCTGAAACCGTATAATCCACTGATCCCCAACATGGTGTCCACTCAAGTGCTTCCTGCCACCCACTTGTTTCCCCCCCACACCTCATTGGATCAGAAGACCCCAGGAGGACCTTTAGGCCTGCAGTGAGCATCAATTTGGAAATAGCTCTCCCCAACATACGAGAATGATTGGCTTGGAATCTCCCCCAACTTTGTGGTTTTTCTGCTGCCCCTACGGCTGCTGTTTTGTGGTGATGCCTGCTGTTCTTTCTCAGAATTTCAAAAGTGGCCCCTGGCATAATCCCTGGTTCTTGATTTACTGCAATCAGGTGAAGGCACAATCCAGCAGAAGTTAAAACATTTTAATTGCCAGTGTTTTCAGTGGGAGAAATTCTAAACAGGAGCCTAGTTTTGTTGAAATCAACCGGTTTAAAAGTGTTTTCATTGACAGGATTGCCTCTTTAACCTTGAGTCAGGTGACTGATTTTCTTTCTCCCTAAGAATAATTGTCATCTCTTTTTATATCATGCAGGGAGCCCACTCCTCCATAACCTTGTACTATGGTCCCCATACCAAGACCTACATATCACCCATCTAGTTGTGACGATTACCATGCACTTGAACACAGTCTATAAAAACAGGAGCGATTGCCTTTGCTATGAAGAGGGTGAAAAAGTCCTTGAACAACTGCAGCCTTGCCCATCTTCCTTTAAAGGTCCTACCCTTCCCAGTGTCCCACAGCCAGGGACCAAAAAGGTGGGGTGGAGTCATGGATGGCAGTACAGAACTTTCAATTAAGAATGACTGAGAGACATAGCTGCCATAATATCCTCTTCTTCTCTCCCCTCAAGGGTCACTCCTGTCTAGTGGCAGCTGAGTTTTTCAGATTTTGGGGGGGAAAGTTGGTTGACATGCTGTAGAAATGCCTTTTTTCCCCTTGTGACACTTGTAGAGGTTTTAAGATTGAAATTAAATGTTCTTAAGGTTGCAAGGTAAATGTGCATGCGGGGGCAAGACGGGAACAGATGGTTTAAATGCTAGCCCCTGAAATTCGTGTTGCTTAACCACACTGGTGCCTTACACCCAATTTTATCACCTACAAAACAAAGCAACAACACTGTAGTATGGTTTTGTAATGGTTGATTGGAGAGTGTTCTTGTAAATGGCTAGCTGACTTAATCTCTGTGGCTGACAGATAATAAAACTGTGTTTTCGTAATCGGTCATTATAACAAGCAGCGTGTGAGCTGCAGGTGATGTTACTTCCTGTTTAGCCAGAGCAGCTGTTCTGAAAATGCCTGAGTTGTGCTTCTGGTTATAGATGTCACAGGTAAATGCAGGGAGGAGACAGTACGCTGGAAGTGATCCTGCTTCCTGTTGTAGTAAGGAAGTTGCTCTGGCTGTTTTTCTGGCTGTGGGATCATGTTGCTGAAAAATATGAAGAGGAGAGAGAGAGACCTATGGTGTGTGTTGGAATTGCATCCGTAACTTCTTAATAATCTATATATTTAAAAGAATGCAGATTGAAATGTTAATGACAGGTGGGAATCTAGCCTTAATCTGGCTAGATTTGCAATTCTAGTATATTGTGTACTACAGACATAAAAAGGAGCTGTTTACTCTGTTGTATATAGGGATAGGATTTTCCGGGGTTTTATTTTCTCGATTATTTTCTCGATCGATTTTAACCTCACTTGTACAGCCAAGTGAGATTGCCTGTTTATTATTAACTTTATTACTGGTAATCAAAGATTTATTGTATTCTAAATTAATAGATTACAGCTGTGGCAATAATGGGCAAAAATACAAGGAGTTTATATGTGGATGAAAACATTCTTAAGAACTTGTGAGAGGCACACTAATGTAATCAATACAAAATATGTTTTTTGCAGGTCTGTAAAGCTAAAATGCTAGTGGATTTTTAAATCTGTAGCATGGATTTTAAATGTTTGGGACAAATTACTTTCCATCTCCACCTAGTAGTGCGTCCGAGTTGTGGCTGTTTGTTGTCGCTTCATGTGGAGAAGTAGCCTTATCAACAGCTGGGTCACTAGTCATAGTCTTTTCACTCTAGTGCGGTATCGCCTATGTTCTGGGGTGGGAGTGGAAGGCACAATAGGTCTAATCAAGATACCTTTGTCTAAAGCAAAATATCTTGACATTAGATTAGCTCATACTTTCCCACCTCCTAGTTTTCATTTAGATTCTTCAGTCTTGGAGAAAGTAGGGGTTCTGAAGCAGCAGGGATGATGGTTATTATTTTGATTTGATTTATTAATTGCCCTATCCCAGTTTACGCTGGGTTCTGGATGATGTACAAAGGGGCACAATGCCATAAAATATACAAAACATAAAAATCCAATATATAACTTAATAAAAATTTAAATTCAGAATAAAAGATCCAAGATGGCATCCTATAATATTTTTTATTCTAATTCTGGACTACTGGCCAATTTTCTAGGCAGGGGGAAGGGGAGT